CGTGCGCTCGGTGGGCGGTCGGGCCGCTGTGGTCTTGTGCGTTTGGTAAGAGAGCGCGTTTCTTAGAAGATGTTCTCTTTAAAATTCCTTGTCTGCGCTAATCTGGTTTGGAATAGAAAATTCCATTCGCTGCCATTTCAACGAAAACATTCACTAGGTTAAACAAACAAAATCCTGCAAGGTATGTAGAATACAGGAGAAACATCAAGTATGTTCTGTATTTAAAAGCTTAAAAACTCCTGAAATTAAAAAGTAGAGGGAGGTAGCAACTAGAAACGGAAAGACTCCTGGCTATCTCAGCCTTACAATATATCTCAGTGTTACAAACCAGTTTTATGGACTAAACTGAAAAAAGAAAGCAAGTTTATCTGACTTTCAATTCCTAAACCATTCCTAGTCACCACTGTGACTAGGCTAGACATTGAGCTCAGGTGAAGAAATTATTTCTTTAAATTTTTTTGATAGCTGACATGCCATAGCTGGTTCAGTAGGTCAGCTACTCCCATTCCAATCTTTTTTTTTTTTTTCCTTCCTCTCCCAGTAGTTTGAATTTCCTTAAAATGTTAGTGGCCGAGCCTGTTCTAAATAAAGTTGGTTCTGTATTTCAGTATTTTAGTCAGGCCGTATCATAGACAGGTGTTTTTCAAATTACTTCTAAAACATTTTTATGAAGAAAAATGCCTATGTGAGTTTGCCTGTCTTGTGTATTTAAAATATGTATTTTCATAAGAGACTAATTTTCCAGTAAAGTTAAATCTTGCCCAAAGGCCAGTTCAGAACTCCTTTTGCAGCTGGGACACTTGTTTGTATCTCTGTCTCCCCTGCTGTATTTGACTGTCAGCTTTCACGAAGCTTTGGAGCATTTATCTATTCTGCTGTGCATTTCTAAATCCACCTGAAATTCCACAGAAGGTTCAAAAACTACTGGTAGGAAAACATCTGCATAGAGATGTGTACGCCGTACTGCTGCACAAATGTTTTTACTTTTGTTAAAAACTAGCTCTGAGGTTTCCAAACAAGTTGCCTTCAAGTCCATTTATTTGCCTTCTACAGATTTGAGAGCACTTTAGCATCTCCTTGGGGTGCTTTCTTCTTTCTCCAGCTGGCTCTAGCAAGCATCATGAGGTTTCTCAGTGGTTTTACCATATCTTTTGATGCCTCCGAAGAAGAAATGCACCCACAAGGCCAGAAAGGCAGAGCTGGATTTCCTTGAGAGGCCGCGAGAGGGACCTATCCATTGCTGTGAAATTCCGCTACCTTCGGCCCAGAATCCAAGACGAGTTCCTACAAAACCTGTAGACCAGAACACCTCTACTGCCTGGGTTGGTATGGATTATCCTTCCCCCTGTGTCCCACAGCAACGGTTTTCAAGTTTCTCTCGTATGTCTCGACAGAAAGCTATCTGTTCTGGGTACTGAACACGAGTAGCAGAGACCTGAATTCGTTGTAGCTGCCTAAAGCATAAATAAGTGCTTTGGAGTTGCTTTGCATTCTAACTACAACCACTAAGGTCTTGGTTATTTGAAGGCTTAAAACTGTGTGTAGTGTGTACTGACTAACATGACTTCGTCTTCTGAAAAACTAAGTCTCATCAGGAAAACGCTGTTTTCTATGGCAACTGAAAACCCTGCACATAATGTACATTGGGGGAATTTTTTTAATTGGCTAACTGCTTGAAATACTGCTGAACTCTAAATGTTACATGTCAAAGTACTAGGTGTTTTGTTTAAATCTGACACTGATAAATTTAGAGAACATAGGCTTTCACTTCAGGATTATTTGTTCTAACCTGCCCTCTTTTCTATTCTGTGTGTTTTAAATAGTTTCCATATCACTCTTCTGAGGGGCTCCATTTCTGGTCTGAAAAAATATTCCAGGGACTGTTTGCAATGTCCTAAGATACTCATTATATCATGTAATGTAAAGTTTGGGGTTTTTTAAGCAAACGGGTGCTGCAGAGACAGACTGTTCCTATACAACAATAGTCATCACCTAGGGGAGTTCTGTTTAAGCATTATTGCTGCTTGACTCTGCTCTTCACAAAGCAGGCTCAGGAAGCATGGTTTCAAACCCGTGTAAAACATTCCTTTGTTCCTGGTGACCTGGAGTTATTTTTGTGATGCCTTAACCTTGAAGTAGGACATGTTCAATTTTTTCCTCTTTAATTTTTTTTTTTTATATGCTTGAGGCAGTTAGCTGTATGGCTTCTGAAACACTAACTACAATAACTGCTGCTAAGTAAATGCTTATTCAGCATTCTTTTTGTTTGGAAGAGGTGGAAATAACCACACTGGTATTTAGCTCTTTGCTTCCAAACATACAGTGATTTTAAAATTTGTTTGAAGCTATTGGAACTGAAACTGTTACATATTTTTCCATTTGAAAATCCTGGTAAGTTTGTAACTTCTTGAAGCATCCTCTGCAGAGCTTCTGTCAACTTGTTTCAGTGGCAACTGATTTGTCTGCTCCTCTCTTCTTGATGGTATCTAAGTTGGGGGGTTTTTTATACCTTCTTGACTGCCAGGCTCCTGCATTGGCAAAGCCTACCCTTCATGTTCTCTGAAGCCAGGAAGTCATATCCTCAAGTCAGTGGTTCACCTACGTTCTTTTAAGTATGTGCCAGGATACAATTATTGGGGAAACATTTCTCTTTTCCTGCACAAAGGCCTTGCATTCAGACAGTTCAGTTGTACAGCAGGCAATCACTATTGTTTCTTAAATTGCATTGTTGTTTTCTGAGGGACTATGTAGTAACTTAGGAATGCTGAAGGGGATCTGTAGTTATCGTTTGGTGTGCTCTAGGGAAAAGCAAATCAAGAGAAACAGAAACTGACTCTTTTTGTTGATACCCAGGAAGATAAAGAATGCTATAATAGAAGGATTTCCAGGTTTTGAGTAAAAGTCCAGAATCTTTCAAAGAAATATTGATTGTTGAGCTTTGACCATCTTCTATAGAAAACCAACTTTAGAAGTGGCTTTTGGGAGCTCTGTTACTCCAGGATACAGAGATTAACTATGTTTTGAAGTAAAGATGTTTTGGGGGAATATTGTGAATGCCATATTAAGATAATCTAAGGTGATGGAGCTAAGTGGGCATCCTTTAAATAATTTTGTATTGCTCTTGGTTCAACCTCTTGTTGAACCTCAGGGAGGTTGAGGATGTAGTTCATTGAATCTATTCAGAGGTATGCTAAGACACAGAAAGAAATAGGATCCAGCTCTGAACTGTTTTAAATCTGCAGGGGTTAGAGGAATAGGCATCACTGAGACTTTTCTTTAAAACCCAGATCTTAGGTTCTTTTTAAGTTACCAGAGAATAGCTCACTTGGACCCCAATAGCTTTTCAGAGAAGAGTGGCAGAACACTATGTTGAAGCTCAGAAGTATCTCCTGCTTAGCAGCTTTGTTAGTGACCGATTTGCTTTGCTGCAGACCAGATTACCCACTTAATGAACACACTGAAAAAAAGACGGGATAGGCGGGGGAGTAGAATCAGGTTGGCATTCCTTTATCTGGAGAAAACAGTTGGGTTTTTTTCTTATTATTATGTCTTTCCCTTCAGGTGCGCCCACAATTTGAAACAACCAAGTTGGTGGCATTGAAAGCATGCCAGAAGCAACATCACGGTCCTCACAAACCCCAGAATCAGGATGCCAACCACAGTTCGCTTCGTGCAGGAGGAGCTTGTCGAAGAGCTACAGCCTCCAAATTTTCTCCTTTAACTTTTGAGAATCCAGAAGGATATGCAGTTCACCCCTTGGATCATCCGAATTGCTCGAGGAAGAACACACAGCGCTCTCACAACCAGGCCAAAAAAGGAACAGCAGCGAAAGCCAACATCCAGGTGAACAGTCCAGAGAACTGCAGAGAAACACCTTTGTTACCTGCTCCCCAGCCTGTGGAGCCAGACATCTTTAGTCCGCCAGATGTAGAGACTCCAGAGGTGCCTTCTGCAAGGAACTGGAGATGCAGCAGCACCCCACCACAAAGACATAGCCATGCCTGGCATCCAGAAAATGAAGAGCAGGCATTTGGTATTGATCCCGATGGGAAAGGGGAGTCAGCAGCAGTACTGGTTGCAGATACTCCCGAGCATGAGTATGGAGTAAAGGTTACTTGGAGGAAGCGGCCTCACCTGATGAAATACCTGCGGGAGAGAGGGAAGCTGAGCGCCACCGACATACTGGTGAAGGCGAACCCCAAGCTCTCGAGCAGACAGGCCAACGTCTGACTTGGCGGGAGCAGTAATTTTTGTTATGTGCAAAGACACATCCAAAGAGACAACGATACTTTCG